AATGTTCTTGTTTCATAGAGTAGATTTGAACACCTGAGGTTTAAACGTCAATATTGTTCAAAAAATTTTTCGCTTGTGGTACCTAATAATAGCACTTGCGAGGACTGACATCCTGTCCAATGTGGCTGCAACCACAATATTTTATTAATCAACAGCCCCAAAATCCAGTCCAAGAGGACCATACAAATCTCTCATTAGTCTCATTGCCTGACACTTTGCATAAACTATATATCAGCTTCCTAGTAATGCTGTGAATGAGTAGTCATGTTCCATTCACCTGAAGTTGTTAGCCCCCTCCTACAAATGAACCGCTCACTGACCAGCACGTTGTGGAGGTGAGGTCTCTGTCTTTGACAATTTTTTTTTTACTGCATCAAGGCAGACACAAAACTTCTGCGCTTTCAGAATACCAATACTTTGAAGAAAAACAAGTGTATGAATAAGTATGAGGGGTTATTCTTAAGAACAAAGAATAAAGTTTCATCCAACCCTTGCTAAATTCTTCCCAAACTCTCTCAGAAACATACATGACATGAACATCTACAGATCACAACTCGCTAAATTACCACAAAACCTTTTGTTCCTGAACAGCTCAAAGAATGACGACTGATGTAATCTAAAATGTTCTATTTCCTCCCTTAACTTCTTGACAGGAACTTGTATGTCCTTCATCTACAGTCATTTGAACAAATCTCTTTTTAACATCCATCACTGATCGGGTTAAAGAGTATTAATTCCCGAATAATGCTACCCATACATTTCTCGCAAAAATGGTGAATATCCAGGAACAAAAAATGATGAAACAGTAAACCACAGCGTTACACTAAAACTAAAAGTACTCACAGAGACAATGTCTGCAATGCACTTGCTTGTGTTTCCCTTGTCATCCTTGATAGTAATTGGTCTGTCCTCTTTAATTCTTTCTAAAGCAGCAGGGCAGTCTAACTAAATGCGAAAAAAAATAAAAATAAAACCATGCGCTGATTTTCTTTATTTGCAAGGCAAACTGGGGCAGGATGTGCAGTCATTTCCTAAACGGAAGACAATTCTAAACCAAACATATTTTGTTACATACAGCAGAAATTCATTTTTATTGAAGTGGATTCCTCGAGAAGATAAAAGGGTTTAACTAAGAAAGATACCCTGATGGACTCTTTGAACATCAATCTCATCTGCTCGCTACATGGGGTCAGATAAGGGTCTCAGGCCTGCAAAATGATGTAGTTTTGTGTATCAAATTATTACTCACTTACCTTCAGTACATCACTAAAAATTGCTGGATATGAGTTTCAACATATATAATAAGAAAATGATACAATTTTTCTTCAGATATGATTTCTTCCACACAAATCAAGTAGAAATTTTTTGTATTTTAATTAGTAATGTTTTGACAGGCACAAAAGTGGAAGAAATCATATCTGAAGAAAAATTGTATCATTTTCTTATTTTGTTTGAAACCTTTCACAAGCACAATGGTCATTCTACAGATAAATCCACCTGAAACTAAGAGCACCAGACACTTACAAACAAGCATACAAGATACCAAAGAGATCGAAATAACAGGTATTGAAAAAAGTCATCATTATTGTAATCCCACCCTCTAAGAATGTAACTTTTTGAAAACAATGAAGTAAACACTTGCATGCCTTGTACTTGTAGGGATTTTCTTAGCGCAAATTCTGGTACTGAACACATCATCGAGGAATAATTTCGAGTGAAAATTCAGAATTGCCACACCAACCCTCAGTCTGTTGTCCCAGTCAGTGACCAACACGTAATGCAGACACAATGATTCCGGACATCATGTGTGTAATAATAATAAAACCTATTCATGTGGAGTTAAGCGAGGGAAATGTGTGGATATTTACAGCAATGTGGTGTTTAGATCAACCATTTTGAGGTTACAGAAACTGCGGTAGCAGTGAAATTTGGTGAGTAGATACCCTTAAGTATTACCAGAGAGGGTTTACAGTAATAGAGAGGTGACACTCGTGGCGCTCCATAAAAACAGTGCATTGTTTCGCATATCGCCCGGCGCCGTGCGCGAAAATACGTACGCGCGGTGATCGCTGCCACGGCGATGCTCAGGGATGCTGTAATGTCATGAGAAAATGTAGTACCGTCTGTAGTTAGTTCACTAGGTTACTAGGCCTATAATAAAGAAGAAGGCCTGTGATTTCTATCGCATATTTTAGGCAACCCCTGCCTCCCTCGGCCATAAACTGTAAGACTTTTTGGGGGGGCTTAAGCAGACCTGCCACTCTATGAAACCCCAAAATCAGGATCTCAGGGAGAAAAAATCGGGATCAACAGCAAATCACTAAGGTGACTGCCAAAGCTGACCTAAAATTTTTCCAGGGGTGTCCATAAATTCCTTGGCCTAAATCTATATATATATATGTCCTCTGGGTGTCTTTGTTTGTTTGCGTGCGTGCGGGTGTGTGTGTGTGTGTGTGTGTGTGTGTGT